GTCCTGAACTGACACCGATCGTTGTCGGAGGCCCTTGAAGAAAACTCGTCGAATGCCTGCTGCTTCTGTAGTGGCGCGATCCTCTCGCATGCTGTTCGAACCGTTGCCACTGCCAACTGTGTTGCAGCAAGCAGGTCCTCACCTGCTCTCTCCAGGACTGCTCGAGTCGTAATCTCGACCTTCTTGCTGGCATGATAGTTAAGAACCGCTCTATCCTCGAACTCTTCCCGGTAGGAGCGTCGCCATTGTAGTGAACTATGCTTTCCTTGCCGACTTAGAAGCGTCCGTCCTGGAGCTGGTACTGGGACGTCGTCATCTTGTCGGGTAGGCAGCTGCTACTGAACACGTTGTAACTGATGTTGTCGTCCTCGCCCGGGCTGTCCCTACCGCTGTCGTCCAAGGGGCGATGAGGCCCTCGATGATGTGGAGTGCGTTGTGGAAATTCAACGCGAGAATCAGCGCCAGCATATAGTCTTGCACGGCCACTCGATATGAAATCCTCGCAGACGTGGGGCAGAAATTGCTCACGCTACCAGTGTAAATGATAGTCACCATATCCAACCCACAACTCTCGATGCAAGAGAAGCAAATCAGAAAGTGACATCCTTTTCCTCCGTACTCAGGTTTAGTCGTGAGTGGGTGCGTCCACCCTCCCGCCCAGCTACGAGCCGAATGGCGAGAGGAAACATTACAGCACGAGCGAGTGAGAGAGCAGAAGCAGCATATCCTTATCCTGTCAATTCCCTTCTACTTCCATCTGCATACGAATCCGAACTCCACAGCAGCACAGCAGGTTCCTCACGTGGCGAGCCTTCCGAGGTGCCGCCGGTCTCTGGGCCTGCCTGGCCAGGCACTCCACAGCGTGTTGGGTGCCAAGCGAAGGGGGGGGGGGGCCTCCGCGATGCCACTGCTGCCGCGCCTTTTGCAGCATGGTGAGCTCCCGATGTAGCGGGCCTTCCGCGGCGTCGTTGGTCCGGGCGCTTCCCTCGCCAGGCTTTCCGCGGCATAGCGGGTGCACAACGTGGGGGGCATTCCGCGGCGCCGCCCGTGCGTGTGTTTTCCTGGCTGGGCCTTCCGCAGCACGCTGGGTTCCCAACGTAGGGAGGCCTTCCGCGGCGCCGCCAGCGCGTGGGCCTCCCTGACTGGGCACTATTCCGCAACATGGTAGGATCCGAACGTCAGGGGCCTTCAGCGGCGCCATCAGTGCCTGGGTCTTGCTAGCCGAGCCTTCCTCAACGTGGGAGGGTCTCCAAACTTATCATCATCCTCGTCTTCGTCGTCGTCACCCGTGTCGTCGCCGTCGTCGTCGCTTTCGTCGTCGTCGTCGAAGTCTTCGTCGTCGCCCTCGTCATCGCCGCCCCTCGTCGCAGCCGTCCTCGCCCTCGTCGTCGTCGTCGCTCTCGTCGTCCTCGGCGTCCTCGCCCTGGTCGTCCTCGTCGTCCTCCTCGTCGCACGTAACGTCGGTTCGTCTCGTGCCGACGCGGCGGCGACCCTAGCGCGCGCGTGTTCAAGATTGAACGCCGCTGGTGGTCCAGATTCGGCCGACCTTGAGCCATCTGAGCTATCGGAATCCGCGATCAATCAAGGATGAAGGGTCCACGCGGTGGCAGAAACCAAAGCCCATGTCAAGGAAGGAATTTGCCGCCCACACACTTACCCTCCCATCCTTCTCCTCCTCATTATGCTCCCCGTCCTCCTCTTCCACCTCCTCCCCCTCCTCCTCCTCCTGTCTTTCTGTCCTCCTCCCTCTCCTCCCCCGTCCGCATGTCCTCCTGGCACACTGTGCCCTGCCGCTGCCCCGCACCCTCGGGGCCTGAGTCCAGCCGCGAGCTCATGCCTCCTCCCCTCCTCATCCTGCCCTCCCTCCTCCTCCTCCTTCTCCTCCACCTCCTCCTCCTCATCCCTCCTTATCCTCCCTCATCCCCTCCCCCTCCTCATCCTCCCTCCTCCGCGTCATCCCTCCTCCCGACTCCCCCCTCGGGGTTTACTAATGGTGCCCATGGGCCAAGGTGCCCCCAGCCTTTCGCTCCATTTTGCAGCCCCTGGGGCCCTCTGGGTCTCGTGTGGGGTGCTCTGGAGGCCGTGGGGCATCCTTGGAAATCCGGGGGGCAGCTTGGGCCAGGGGCACTCCTGGCAACACCCGACTTCTCCCTTCCCGGCGGAGCTCAGCAGATTGAGCCACTTGAGGTTCTCGACCAGCCGACCGACCAATTTTCTTTTCTTACCTTCAGTTGAAAAAAATGGCCCCCGAGCGCGCGGGCGGATTATAAGATGCCCTCGGTGATCCCCTCGTCGCCAGGCCAGGCGCTGACCGAAGAGCCAGCCAGAACGGTGCCCAGGAAGGGCGCGGGGTCGATTCTGAACGGGTCCCGGCCCAGGAGGAGGCATCTCAGCATCTTGTTCTGCAGCGCGTGTGAACCAAGTGGGTCCCCAGCGAAAGCGCTTGCGCTGCAGCGCGAATGGCTTACCCGCTTGCTCGCGTGACCGTCCCCTTGCCAGTCTGAGTTGCGGTTCGTTGTTCGTTGCCCCCTCCTCTTCCCCTTCCGCTTTTCCCATCTTTTCCATGGCCGTCTCGGCCGATTCGGTCAGCGCTACAAGCGACAGACAAACCCGCTGGCTGCTTACGGAACGGCAGGCGCGGGAAAGAAACGAACGCTACTGCGCATGTGTTGCCACGCCTCGAAGGATAGAGGTGGCGTATATCCAGACGGCCGTGCCACCGCATGCGCGTGCAAGCTGTGCGGGCAGCCAACTTACGGTGCACAGATCCGCGAGCCAATCGCTTGTGAGCGCGTAGCAGGGAAAACACGTCGGAGGCCATGGACGGTCCACGCGGGCAGCAGCCCACAACGCACGCCATTAAATCTAAGTCGGGCATATCCCCCTACAGGAGGAATATTCAAAAGATAGTTTAGAAAATAGTCTGGGGATGATTTTCCATCTTTAAGTATTTGTGGTTTTTCGCTTACTTGTCGTTCAAAATCCGCCTGTAGGAGGACATACCCGACGGAACGTTACATCACAGTCAAGGCAGCTGTTGTTCGCACGGTGTCCGGACTTGTGCCATCTCGGGTTGGTGTCATGCACCCAGAGCTACGGGAGATTGCCCACGTGACCCCAAAGCATTGCATCCGCACACTCGTCCTCTGCGCTCATCCATTTCTCTGCTCCTGCACGCGGCGGCATCCTAGAGGAATGGAGGGGAGGCGTCCCAATGCAGATGATGGCGACCGAGCTGCAGATGTCATGGCCCGATCGAGGAGAAAAAACGCGCCGCCTCATTAATCCTCATCCCGCGGCCAGCTGTGCAGGGTCCATTCCGATTCGATCGATCCGATTCGATATCGATTTCGACCAGTTCCATGCGCAATGCCGATATCCCGACTATATGATGCGGCCCGATGCTTGCATCGCGCAGTTGTGCATCCTGACGCGACCGATCCAATTCGATGTCGATTCCGTGCCGATGCAGCCCGATCCGACGCACATGACGAATCGATCCGATTCCCCCCATCGATGTTGACTCATCTTGTCCACCTGCTTTTTCTCTGCGTCTGACTTCGCTCGCTGTCTTGTTGCGCTGCAACCTGTCTCATCGTGTCCCGCCACGTCTCCCATCTCCGTGGTTGCTCCGATACGCACAGAAGGATAGGGAGGAGAATAGAGAGAGCAGGAGGAGGAGGAGAAGGAGGGACGTGGGAGGGATTCAGGAGCAGCAGCAGGAGGGGGGATGAGGAGAAGGTAAAGGAAGATCGAGAAGGGATAGAGAAAGATGATGATGATGATAAAGCCCAGAAGCAAGGCACAAAGAGCAGGCAAGGAGGAGGAGAGAGGAGGGGTGAACTCGCTGTCGGGGTCTTCTGGGTACGCGAGGCCCTTCGCGAGCGAGGGCCCCCGTCTGGTTGAAGGTCGGGGCGCCAGTAACCGCCCGCCCGCCTGCACTGGGACGGCAGGGGCCCGCGTCGCGAGCGAGGCTTGCCGAGTACATTCGGGACGCTCTGGCAAACGGCCTCGCTTTCCAGGGGTCGATGGGTTGGCTTCCCTGGATGTCCGTGGTGCGGTCGGCTCGGTCGGGTTCGGCTCGGTCGGATGCTGCGTCATTGTTGCGTCGCTGCGCCCTTCTGGGCTGCTTGCGGCCTGTCGGTTTCGGTTTCGCTGTCGGCCCCCTCCTCCTCATTCTCTTGCTCCTCCCTCTTGCACCGTCCGGTTGCTGGGGTTGGATTCGGCAACGCGCGTTCCTGGTCTCTGTTTCGCACCTCTTCATAAGGAAGTCAGCGCCAGGCCAGGCATTCGTATCCCGCTGCGTCGCTTCCGCGGTATGGACTCAGCCGCGCGTCGGGGGAAAAGTCTGTGCGCTCGTGTGCGTGCTTGCGTGTAAGTTCCTTGCGTTATGATTGATTGCATTTGTGGTTGCGGGTGTGCTTGTGGTTATTGTTGTGATTGCGGTGTGTGATTGTGGTTGTGTTTGTGCATGTGTGCATGTGTCAGTGCATATGTGTATGTATGCGCGTATGTGCGCTTATGGCGCTCTGATGATTTAGTGGCACCAATTAGCACCAGACTGCTGGCGCTTCAACTTATTCGAGTCGAGCTTTCTGTTTCTCGCGTTGTTGGCCGCTGCACTTTGGTTTTACAGTGCCCCACTTTTTCGTTTCACCATCCCTCTGCACTGCAGTGGTGGACGTACTCTTCACTGCGTGTATGGACTAAGTTCGTTCGCAATTCGCACTTACATCTGCGGACCGCGCCTGAGGCTCTTCTGCGCCGCCGACTTAAGAAAGTGTGCGCTTACGTGTGTCCTCGGTTCAGGTCGGCCCTGACAGTCTCAAGGTAGACTGAAAGAATGCGTTCCTCCCCGGTGCATAATCTGTCGCGGCTTTGGTGCCGCATCGCCAGCGGAAAATTGTGTGTGTGTGCGCATGGAGGCTTGCGCCTTGCCTGCGCCCGTGTGCACTGCACCGCGCTGCCCTCCTCCCACAATCTCCATCCGCCCGCGGCCCAGAGCGTGCGCCTCCGCGCGGGCGCGTGGCCTGGCCGCGCGGGGGCGCCATGGCGGACAGGCCTCGCAGTGCTCGGGCCGCTTCCGAGCGGCGCCCCTGGGCGCGCCGCCGCCGCGGCCAGAGGGCGCTGGCGTGGCTGGCTGGGCTGACCTCAGCCGGTGGGGTGGCGGCGCGCGAGGCGTCGTGCGACGCGGACTCTGGCTCCTGTGCCGCGCCGACCGGTACCTCTGAGGGGCTGGCGTGGCAGCCGCGGACCCTGAGCGTGGTGCTGCCGTGCGCGAACGAGGGCGACTTCGCCAAGAAGACGATCCAGGCGGTGTCGGATTCCGTCCCTGGCGGCAGCGGTGGGGACATCTTGTCTGACATTGTCGTGGTCGACGACGCCAGCGACCCGCCGCTCTCGAAACTTCTCTCCCCGAAGTTCTTGAAGGCGCATCACGTGACCCTGGTCCAGCACACGAGGACGCAGGGCCTAATAGTCTCTAAGTCGGATGGCGCCGCCGCGGCCGTGGGCGACATCGTAGTGTTCTTTGATTGCCACGTGGCGCCGCAGCCAGGGTGGCATGCTGAGTTTCTCAAGGCCAGTGCAGAGAACTACCGCAGGGTCGTGGTCCCTGTTATCACGAGCCTGAACATAGACACGTGGACTGAGGAGGGGAAGGGTATGATCCCGGGCCTGAACAAGTGCTACCTCACTTGGGACGCGGACTTCAAGTGGATGGTCGCCGAAGGACCAGAGATCCCAGTCTTGTCTGGCGGCTTGCTCGGCATCAGCAAGAGGTGGTGGAACGAGACAGGCGGCTACGACAGTGGCATGCGGGGTTGGGGTGGCGAGAACATCGACCAGTCCGTAAGGACGTGGCTCTGCGGCGGAGAGATCCACGGTCTGCCCAACGCCCGGGTCGCCCACATGTGGCGCGTGCCAAGCGACCCGCGGACCCAGGCCACTTACCAGGTGAACGTCATGGACGTCTTGAGGAACCGCGCCCGCGCGGCCAGGGGGTGGTTCGGGGAGTTTGCGGAGAAGCTCGAGCATTACCCAGACATGCGTTACGCGGGCAACGTCGCTCCGGGGGACCTCGCCTCCTTCCGGGAAGTGCAGGAGAGGCTGCGGTGCCGCCCGTTCGCATGGTACATCTGGCGCTTCGGGGAGATCTACCACGGTGCGGGGCTGCTCCCGAGGGAGACCTTCCGGGTCAGACACGTCAAGACCTCGAAGTGCCTGACGTACCTTGGGCCCGGCGCCACGCACCCGCAGGGGCGTGACAAGGTGGCGCTCCAGCCCTGTGGCACCAGCGTTGCCAGGGGGAGAAAGTGGCCCAACGGCCCCCCCGACGCCCAGCGCTTCCACCTAGCCAACTGGAAGCAGGGGACGAGCGAGTGCTGTAGCGGGCTGCGGGTGTGGAGCACGGACCAGTGCACTTACTTCATGCCCAAAAACGGCGAGCTGGGGACCTCAGTTTGTGATCTCGCTGGTCGGCAGGGGGCCATGAAAGTGACGGACGGCACAGAAGGGTTGGCCCCAGGGCAGTTGATGTTCTCCTACGGCTCGGGGGCCCAGACCATGTCTTGGTGCGTGACCAAGGCGCCGGCAGCCCCGCTCCCCTCGCCGCTTATCATGCTCCCTTTGCATGTGTCCCCTCCCTCGTCTGGGTGTTCGGCTCCAGCGGCACGTGAAACTCTCTGCCGATCCCTGGATGCAGGAGGGAGGAGAGGAGGAGAACGAGGGAGCGGCGGAAGCAGCAACAGCAGAAAAACGAGCTTCCCCTCTCCATCCTTCTTCTCCTCCCCCTGGGGGATGGGGATGGCGTCCTCGGAGCCGTTGTGATGGAGGTCTTGGGGGCCGTGAGGCCTCGGAGTCTGTTCTGGCAGCCACGCCTCTTCGACAGGTCTCCGAGGGCTATGGGATCGAAGGTTTTCTTCCCCTCTCAGCTCATCCTCCCGCGGCATCCCTCCCCTGCTCTCCTCTCCCCTCCCTACCCTTCCCTGCCCACCCTGTTGCCTCCCCTCTCGTCCCCCCTCCCTCCGTCCACAATTGTTCAATATGAAATATATGTGTTCCCTTCTCCCCTGACTCTGTGCCGAAGTTGTCCCGCCCTCTCCGCGTGTGGCCTTCTACACAGCATATTGTTGCTTGATATATCCGGTATGTTTATTATATGGTCGTCTTAGTTATTTTAAGACAGTGTTGCTGCTACAACGTGGGCCTCATGCTAGGATCGGCGCTTTGCTCCCGTCGTTCAGAATGGCACTCTCGCCCCAGCGCGGGCCACTTTTCTGGATCCGAGTTATTGCTCAACAGTGTCGCCCACTTCCTCTCCCGTCCCCCGCCTTCCCCTAGTCATCCTGCTCCTCCCGCTTCTTCCACTCCAGCCCCTGTTGCTGCTGCTGTTTGTCATTGTCCTCCTCCTTCATCATCATCCTCCTCCTGTTCCTCCTGCTCATCTTCTTGTTCATCCGCCACATCCTCCTTCAATGTACGCAGTACCCTTTTCCAATTGCGCAGAACACGATGGGGTCCTTTTTGGAAGTCCAAGTCCGCTATGACACGCGTCGGCGGTTAAAGAAAAGTCAGCGCAATGGGAAGGGATGGGTGGCAGGGGTAGATGTCCGATATGTCGCGCGGGCCTAGTTTGCCCCCTCCCCCCTCTCCTCCCACCCTTTTTGCATCATCTCCCCTCTACCCCTATCCCCCCCCCCCTCCTTCTCACCCCCTCTCACCCCCATCTCTCTTCTCCCACCCCCTCCCCGCCATCCCCTACGTCCATCCCTCCCTCTCTCCCTATCCTTCTTCTTCGCTGAAAGGTTGGTCAACGCTGCCCTCATACATCTGGGCATGCACAAAGACGCGCATCGTCGCCGTCAGCTCCATGTCGGGCCAGTCGAGGAGGATCCAGGATCCAATCACTCTGCCGAAAGCTCTCCCGTCTTGCAGCGGGTGTGGACATGGGCCCCTGGGACAGCACCAAGTTCTTCCGAAGTGGTGCGCCAGGCCATTCCAGAAGTGGTGGCGGCGCCGCGCATGCTTCCAGTCATGGCAGCCGAGGCGTCATACTGCTCGGGCTCGTAGCAGCCAGAGTCAAAGCGTTTGCCCGCGGCGACGTGCTCCGCCTCCTCCTCCCCTCTGCTGCTCTGCGCGTTCGGCTGCAGAGGCCTCTGGTCACCAGCACCCGCGGGCTCGATACCGCAGGGTCGGCAGGGAGCCGGCGGAAAGGCATGCAGAGGAGGAGGCAGGGGCGAGCAGGAGGTCCTTCTTGTTTTTTTTTGCACTGCAGCTCGCGCTCGGAGAACCCCAGGTCGGGCGTGCCCTCTCCCAGATCAAGACAAAGGCCCTCGTCCCCGTGGTCCGCATCCATCTGCGGCGCGGACCCGCCGTGCATCGGCCGCGGCGAGGTCACAGGACTGCGGCGCGCCCTCGGCCACGCGCGAGGGGCGAGCAGGAGGGCCTGGATCCCGGGGTGCTCCCGAGCAGTTCAGGTTGAGAGCTCTTGCACTGAGCGGCGCGCACGCTGGTGATGATCCCTGGCCTCACCTCGGCTTCAAAGCTGCACTGGAAGCTGTGGCCTGGGCCGGGTGTCCAGGCCAGCTGCCTCCGCCCAGGTCATCAAGGTTCGGCTTATCGGCCCTCAGCAGGGCAAAGCTGCAAGATGTGGCTAGCTTTCTGGTCATCGCTCCCTTACTTCTACTGCCGCGCGCCTGGCAGGCCCATCGATTCACATGCTCGCAAAATTGCATGTGGTGGCTTGGATGAACAGCTTGGCTACCTATACGCAGCTGTCCATCCCTCGGGAGGCAACCTGAACAAGAAACTGGAGCGCACGGGGACTGCAACCATTCACGGGGCTGTTGTTTGTCCCATGCGACAGGTTTCTGTTTGCACACCGAGCAGAACATGTCCTTTGGGTTGTGTGGCATCAGCCGCTTGGGGGACTCAACACACAACCGATTGAAACGCCTGATCCCGATGCTGACTATGGCGTGCTTGGCTGGAGGTTGCCCAGGCTGCGCACTTCCGTAGCTCACGGCACAGAAAAATCCAATGGTCGCCATTCTCATCACCCGATTTCGGCTGCTTCGCGGTCGAGCTTCAGGTGTGCTCGCTCCTGGACCTGTTTCCGTGCAGCTGCAGCCCGCACCACCTCCCGCTTCCGGTTCTCTGAGGTGCCGCTTAGGCCTCTGTTTGCTGGCGCGTTAGGCAATTCGGTTCGCGCGCGGCCCGCCCGTCCCGTTTGACGCCGCCTGCGCCTTCGCTTGCGGCCGCGACGAACAGGTCGAGCTTCAGGACAGGTGCACAAGTGTCTTCCTCGAGCCGGCAGCGTGCAGCCTCGTCCCCGGCGAGGCGGTCCTGCAGCTTGGCTGGCCTCGGCCCAGAACGCGGAGACTCCGACCCCGGCCGCCCTCTCGGGGGTGAGTCGGCTTTCGATGTCTGCAAGCGACATATGCTACTGGCACGGACGAGCACTGCAGAATTGAGTTTCTTCCAGAGATCTTTGCTGCTCTCGGGCTGGCGAAGGCCACGTGTTAGCGTTCCCCAGGCTCTCACGACGTACGCGCTATCTGTTATGACACTGATTTGCCCCCGAATGGTCTACAAGCAATCGATTAAGGCCCACATCTCAGCACGGCTGGTCGTCTCCTTACTTCCGCTGAGGGGCGTGTTCGTACTCCGGGTTCTGTCGATGTTTGCTTTGCCTCTCCCATGAAAGGCTCGCCAGGCCCAGGCGCATTTCCTGGCTTCAGGTAGGGAGCCCCGACCTGGTATCACCCTCGTTCTCCTCATCCTCTCCTCCTCCTCCTCCTTCTCCTCCTCCTCCTTCTCCTCCTTTTCCTCCTCCTCCTCCTCCTGCTCCTCCTCCTCCTCCTCCTCCTCTCCTCCTCTTCCTTCTCCTCCTCCTCCTCCTCCTCCTCCTCCTCCTCCTCCTCCTGCTCCTCGTCCTCTTGGTCTGGTCGCCAGCCTTTTCATTCCTGTATTGCTCCTTCCCTCCCCACCTCTGGCCCTCCTCGCCGTCCCGCCGTCCTCCTGTCCTTCCTCTACAGTCACCATCCTCCTCCTCTTCTGTCAATTCCTTGCCTTTTCTCTCACTGCTGCGCGCAGGCCAAAGGCGGATTCAAGGGTGGCAGCTGTGCCAAGCTGTCCAAGGACCAGAAGAAGATGCAGAGGCCCCGCAGCCTTCACAAAGGGTGGGAGCGCTGGCAGGTGAGTACGGCAGGAAGAGGACAAACACGGAAGAGGAAAACCTATTCTGGCGAAGGACCCAACCATATGCAGTTGTGGGTACCGCAATTGTGAATAGATTCTTCTGTGAAGCTCCTTATGGGGCCACGAAGCGCTGCACTGGGTGGGGGGAACGCATGCTGGCGGTAGCACTGAGGCCGACGGTGGAGCTCCCTATGGGGCCACGAAACGGTGTACTGGATTTGGACGCATGCGGACGGTGGCAATGAAGGATTCGGTGGAGCTCCCCAAGGGACCACGAACCATTGTACTGGGTGGGTGAAAATACCAAACTTGGGTTTCCGGGACGCATGTGGACGAGCTCCCTATGGGGCCACGAAACGATGTATTGGGTGGGTTAAAGTGCCAAATTGAATGTGCGGGACGCATGCGGGCAGTCCCACTGGCCCCAACACGGTGTACTGGGTGGGTGAAAATGCCAAATTGGGTTTTCGGGGCGCATGTGGACGGTGGCACTGGGGGTTTCGGTAGAGCCCCTCCCTGTGGGGCCACGAAACGCTGTACTGGGTATTGGGGCCTTCGGTGGAGTTCCCCATGGGGCCCCGAAACGTTGTATTGGGTGGCTGAAAATGCCGAATTGGGTGTGTGGGACGCACGCGGACGGTGGCAATGAAGGCTTCGGTGGAGCTCCCCGTGGGGCCACGAAACGTTGCACTGGGTAAGCGAAAATGCCACATTTAGGTATGTGTGCGACGCTTGTGGACGGTGGCACTGGGGCCTTTGGTGGGGCTATTTCTGGGGCCACGAAACGCTGTATTGGGTGGGTGAAAATGCCAAATTTGGTTTCCGGGACGCATGTGGACGGTCCCAATGGGACCTTCGGTGGGGCTCCCTATGGGGCCACGAAACGCTGTACTGGGTGGGTGAAAATACCAAGCTGGGTGTGCGGGACGCATGCGGACAATGGCACTGGGGCCTTCGGTGGAGTTCCCTATGGCGCCACGAAACGTTCTACGCACTGAACGAAAATGCAAAATCTAGTTTTCGGAACGCACGCGGGCGGTCCCAGTGGCGGTTTCGGTGGAGCCCCCACAAAACGTTTTCCTGGGTGGGTGAAAATGCCAAGTTGGGTTTTCGGGGCGCATGTGGACGGTGGCATTGGGGCTTTCGGTGGAGCTCCCTATGGGACCACAAAACGTTGTACTGGGTAGGTGAAAATGTCAAATTGGGTTTCCGGGACGCATGTGGACGGTAGCAGTGGGGGGTTCGGTGGAGCTCCCAATGGGGCCACGAAACGCTGTATTGAGTGGGTGAAACGCAGGGAGGAGGGAGGAGGGGGAGGATGAGGGAGGAAGGGGGCGGAGGAGGAGAGCGAGGGGCGCCGTCGTTTCGAAACGAGGACCCAACACCACAGGATGATTGAGAATTAGCTTGGCGAAAGACCCAACCATATGCAGTTGTGACTGCCGCAATTGTGAATATCTTCTTCGGTGGCGCTCCTTATGGGGCCACGAAACGCTGTATTCGGTGGGTGAAACGCAGGGAGCAAGGACTGTGCTGGATGGTGGCGGACGCATGCGGGCGGTGCCAGTGGGACCTTCGGTGGAGCCCCTTTGATGGGGCCACGAAACGTTGTACTGGATAGGCGAAACGCAGGGAGCAAGGGCTGTGCTGGGTGGTGGCGGACGCATGCGGGCGGTACCATTGGGACCTTCGGTGGAGCCCCCTTTTATGGGGCCACGAAACGCTGTATTCGGTGGGTGAAACGCAGAGAGCAAGGGTTGTACTGGGTTGGTGGCGGACGCATGCGGGCGGTGCCACTGGGGCCACGAAACGCTGTGCTGGGTGGGTGAAACGCAGGGAACAAAGGCTGTGCTGGATGGTGGCGGACGCATGCGGGCGGTGCCACTGGGACTTTCGGTGGAGCTCCTTATGGGGCCACGAAACGCTGTGCTGGGTGGGTGAAACGCAGGGAACAAAGGCTGTGCTGGATGGTGGCGGACGCATGCGGGCGGTGCCACTGGGACTTTCGGTGGAGCTCCTTATGGGGCCACGAAACGCTGTACTGGGTGGGCGAACCGTAGGGAGCAAGGGCTGTGCTGGGTGGTGGCGGACGCATGTGACCGGTGCCACTGGGACCTTCGGTGGAGCCCCCATATGGGGCCACGAAACGTTGTACTGGGTGGGTGAAACGCAGGGAACAAGGGTTGTGCTGGGTGGTGGCGGACGCACGCGGGCGGTGCAACTGGGACCTTCGGTGGAGCTCCCTCTGGGGCCACGAAACGCTGTATTGGGTGGCGGACGCATGCGGGCGTTGCCAGTGGGACCTTCGGTGGAGCTCCCTATGGGGGTCGGTGGGTGAAACGCAGGGAGCAAGGACTGTGCTCGATGGTGGCGGACGCATGCGGGCGGTGCCACTGGGACCTTCGGTGGAGCCCCCTTGATGGGGCCACGAAACGCTGTACTGGATAGGCGAAACGCAGGGAGCACGGGCTGTGCTGGGTGGTGGCGGACGCATGCGGGCGGTGCCACTGGGACCTTCGGTGGAGCTCCCTATGGGACCTCGAAACGCTGTACTGGGTGGGTGAAACGCAGGAAGCAAGGGCTGTGTTGGGTGGTGGCGGACGCATGCGGGCGGTGCCACTGAGACTTTCGGTGGAGCTCCCTATGAGGGCACGAAACGCTGTACTGGGTGGGCGAACCGTAGGGAGCAAGGGCTGTGCTGGGTGGTGGCGGACGCATGTGACCGGTGCCACTGGGACCTTCGGTGGAGCCCCCATATGGGGCCACGAAACGCTGTACTGGGTGGGTGAAACGCAGGGAACAAGGGTTGTGCTGGGTGGTGGCGGACGCACGCGGGCGGTGCAACTGGGACCTTCGGTGGAGCTCCCTAGGGGGGCCACGAAACGCTGTATTCGGTGGGTGAAACGCAGGGAGCAAGGACTGTGCTGGATGGTGGCGGACGCATGCGGGCGGTGCCACTCGGACCTTCGGTGGAGCTCCCTTGATGGGGCCACGAAACGCTGTACTGGATAGGCGAAACGCAGGGAGCAAGGGCTGTGCTGGGTGGTGGCGGACGCATGCGGGCGGTGCCACTGGGGCCTTCGGTGGAGCTCCCTATGGGACCTCGAAACGCTGTGCTGGGTGGGTGAAACGCAGGGAGCAAGGGCTGTGCTGGGTGGTGGTGGACGCATGCGGGCGGTGCCATTGAGACCTTCGGTGGAGCCCCTTATGTGGCCACGAAACGCTGTACTGGGTGGGCGAAACGCAGGGAGCAAGGGCTGTGTTGGGTGGTGGCGGACGCATGCGGGCGGTCCCAGTGGGGCTCCGGTGGAGCTCCCTATGGGGCCACGAAACGCTGTGCTGGGTGGGTGAAACGCATGGAAGACGGAGGAGGGAGGGGAGGAGGGGGAGGAGGAGGAGAGGAGAAGAGGAACGCGGGGACCGTCTTTTCAAAACCAGGACCCAACACCACAGGATGGTTGGGGAAAACATGCAATGGCCAGAAACACCAAGAAACACACACACACACACACACACACACACACATTTTAGGTCGGCGGCGCAGAGTGTCTTCAAACGCGGGCAGGAGATGGAAGTGCGAATGGCGATCGAACACTGTCGAAAGCACAGTATACGAAACGTCGCGCACGGAAAGGTGCAAACAAAAGGTGGTGTGCAAGAGTGATTGTAACCCCAATCGTAAACATGCAGCGGCCGGAAAATAATTGAGGACGAAACTAAATTCAAAGTGACCTGAAGCGCAAAAGAGAATGATGCGAATTAAAGGCCACTCAATGACCGACACGACGGCGTTAGACAGTGAAGCGCAAAGAACTTGTAACTGTTGCCAGACCAACAGATTGGCGGAGCAAACCGAACTCAACAGAGGTCCTGCGAAGCAGGTAAGTAACACACACACACACACACACACACACACACACACGCACACACACTTTTAAGCCGGCGGCGCAGAGGGACCTCCGGCGCGGTCGGCAGGTGGAGGAGCGAATTGCGAACGAATTTGGCCGAACGTGCCATGATGAAAGAGCCCAGTCACGGCCATGCAGATCGGCGGTGAAAGACGAGACGTGCTGCAATGCCAAAGTGCTGCGGCCAAAAAAACCGAGGAACATAAGCTCGACGCGGGTAGTTTAAAGCGCAAACAGCAGCCTGGTGCGAATTGAGCTTCACAGAGACAGCAACAAATTATCTTGGCGAAGGATCCAACCATATGCAGTTGTGGGTACCGCACTTGTGAATATCTTCTTCGGTGAAGCTCCCTATGGGGCCACGAAGCGCTGCATTGGGTGGGCGGGAACGCATGCGGGGGTGTGTGGGACGCATGCGGGCGGTCCCACTGGCGGCTTCGGCGGAGCTCCCTATGGGGCCACGGAACATTGTATTGGGTGAGTGGAAAAAAAATGCTACATCGGGTTTTCGGGACACATGCGGACGGTCCCACTGGGGGCTTCGGTGGGACTCCCTGTGGGGCCATGAAACGCTGTACAGGGTGCGCGAAAATGCCAAATTGGGCTTTCGGGACGCATGCGGACGATCCCACTCGGGGGGCTTCCGTAGCTCCCTCTGGCGCCACGAAACGCTGTTCTGGGTGGGTAAAAATTTCACATGGGGCTTTCGGGACGCATGCAGACGGTAGCATTGGGACCTTCGGTAAGGCTCCCAGTGGGGCCACGAAACGTTGTACTGGGTGTGCGGGACGCATGCGGACGGTAGCACTGGGACCTTCGGTGGGGCTCCCTATGGGGCCACACAACCCTGTCCTGGGCGTGCGGGACGCATGCGGACGGTAGTACTGGGACCTTCGGTGGGGCTCCTTCTGGGGCCACGAAACGTTGTACTGGGTGGGGGAAAACGCAGGGAGGAGGAAGGAGGGGGCCACGAAACGCTGTACTGGGTGTACGGGACGAATGCGGACGGTAGTATTGGGACCTTCGGTGGGGCTCCCTATGGGGCCACGAAA